TATCTCTTATCTGAGTATCGAGGGGAAGAAACTCCATTCCTAGGCAATGAAAGAACCATGGTACTCTTCGAGTCTCTAATCCATGAAAATGTCCCAGAAAAACCTGCTGGAGGAACTGATTCTCTTCAGGATAAATTCACTCCTGAACCTTTTGATTATCCTAAATCCTTAGAATCCTCTCCCAAGTCATCCTCTATTAGGTTGCAGCAGAAAGAGGGGTTTGAGTCTACATCACAAAAAAGTAGGAAGAGTGTCAAGACAAGAAAGAAGAGGTTGATGAATCAAGGGAAAGTTGTTACTGACAAGAGCATTCCAGTAGGTGACTTTGGCAAAGATGCTCTAAAGGAATGTGTTTCCTTAGTAAAACAATCTATGAAAGCGCAAAAGTCTGTGGATGAAGCTTCCGATGAAGCTATTGAGAACAGAGTGGAGCACCCGTGAAGGGCAGCAGTAAGTCTAAGAAAAGTCTAGATGAGCAAGCTATGTCTGAAGATGATACTGTGGGGCAAGTAAGTTGGAAAGGGAAGTCTGTTGAAGGATCTAGAAAACGAAAATGGGAAACTGTAGGGGAACCTGGTTCTCTAAAGACCATGCCCAGTGACAGTGGTCTTTGGCAGGAGAGATTAAGAACTCAGAAACTCTTGTGGGGTCGTACGTTTGATGCAGCAATTTCAGAGATGGCTGGTATGAGGCAAATTCTGGAGATAGTGGAATTTCAGCAATGGGAGCACTTATTTCAGGGGAGTATGCCTTTGGTGTACGAGGATGAGGTACAAAATTTCTACGCATCTCTCTTCACTGTTGAGGGAGATCACATATGTGTGCTAGTAAATGGAGTAGACATTGTACTTGACACTTTAGCATTGGGAAGGTTCTCCAAATTCCATGTGAAGGAATGTCCTCAGTCAAAGGTGTTTGTGGTGTCAGCTTTAGGAGAGTTATCATGAAAGAGCAAGCTATTTAGTAGGGGGAACAGGTACATAAGAAGGTATTACTTCCTGAGTATCAGCTTCTCTTTGAACTGGTCAATAAGGTGCTCTTGCCTCATTCTGAGAGGCGGTATATCGCTACAAAATTTGATCTGGTATTAATGGGGGCTATTGACGAGTTTGTTCCAATCAATCTGCCAGCAATCATGATAGAACATATGCAAAAGGTGGCAAACTTTAAAGGTGGAAATCATGGGCTACCATATGGCTTTCTCCTCACTCAAGTGTTTAAATTTTACAAGGTTCCCTTGGGTAATCCTAGAGTGGGAACACGCAAGCAAACCTTCTCTAAAACCACCTTGGAAGAATGTGAGTGCGTAGAAAGGGTTGGTGGAAGCATCTCGACCATTTCTCAGCTGATCAATGTTCAAAATGCAGCTTCTGAAGAGATTCGAAGGTTGAGGGCGCAGAATGCCATACTAGAAACTCAGCTCAGTCAAGCGGTTAAAGGGCCCGGTTCCGTTAATGAAGAAGTTGTTCGCCTAATAAAGGAAAATGATAAGCTTCGCGTAAAACTGCTTGAAGAAAAGTTGTCTGCCAATGCCCGACTGGACCTGGTTCTCAAAACCCTTGCTGCTTCTCTCTCCTAGTCCTCCTCTTCTAGTGTCTCTTAGAAACCCACTAGTGACTAGTGTCTTCTGTTGTGATGTTTTGTGGCTGCTATTTCTACATTTGTTTGCCTTCTCTTTTTACTGATGGTATGTTGGACTTCACCATTACTGCTCCTGTTTTGCTCAGTCCATTGTTAATATCAATGAAACAGCTCCTCTTTTTTTTTGTCTGTACAATGCTGTTTTCCTTTGGCTTCTCTTTTCTATCATGTTGTGTGCACATATGTGGCATGAGTTGGTTGTTTTAGACTTTTTTATGTTGTTTGCCTGCTTGTGTATTTTTAATGATGCCAAAAGGGGAAAAGATAGATAGTAGTGATATGCAGTAGATATATGTATAGTCAACGGACGGAGGGATCAAAAGCAAAAGGTCAGGGGGAACTTGTGAAAATTGATGCAAAAACAGGGGATCTGATTAAGGGGGAATCAAAAGCAAAAAGTCAGGGGGAACTTGTGAAGTTTCTGGTCCTCATCTGGTTATTTCTGCTCTAAAATAAATACTATCAATGTCTGAGTTTGCCATCATCAAAAAGGGGGAAATTGATGGGTTCTCCATGTCTTTACCTTATGCTTCTTATGTTTTGATGATCTAACAAACTTATTGTTAAGAACCAGATAGAGAACCTGACTCACTTGGTACACATCTCAAATGAACAAAGTCTAGTCTGATCTTCAGCAAATGAACTACTACAAAGAGGAACACAACAGGGACCTGATCTCTTGGTATTCTCTGACAGAAGTACAAGTCAACAATAGCTGGAACGCATATGCAGAAAGTGACTGTCTATATACTGTACAGATGACAGTGCAACAAATAGTGTGGCAGTCACTTCTCATTGGGAAAAAGCGTGTATCAACAATTGACACCACCATTGTGATGTCTTTTATAGTATAACAACCTAGTGCAAGACACAATACATTCACTTGAGTATTTAGTGATATTCTCTCAAGCAGCAAAGTGTTCACCCAGCATTGAAGTCACAAGTGTGTCAAGAACAAGAAGACAACTCCACTAAAGGATCTGTTTTACAATGAGTCTATGTATATCCGTAATTGAGTTGTAATCTTATTATTTGTTCTTCATTGTAACTCCTATCTTGCTTTTTTAGAAGCTGTGTTTTAGAAAACCCAAAAATCACAAACCCTCCAAGTTTGTGTTGTGACTAGAGTTAGCCATAAGTTAAAGACTTTGTAACTAGAGAGTAACAAAGTGGCTTGTGGTAAGAGTATCACAAGTTAGTTAAGTTGAAGTCTTTGTAATAGAGTTATTACAAAGTGGCTTGTAATAGTGAGATTACAAGTTAGTGAAGTTGAAAGCCTACAAGTGTAGGTCGTGGTTTTTGTCCCCTTGAGTGGGATTTTTTCACGTAAAAATCTCGTGTCTTATTTACTTACTGTTTTATTAGCATTCTCAGTACAACCTCATAGAGGACCAGGTACTCTACTGTTTGGTAGACTCATACAAACTAACACAAATCAACTCTGAACTTTCAAAATTCCAATTTCGACCACGCTTACAAGCGATAATACCTTAAATGAAGTTACTCATGACCTCAAACTGTCACACGACGCGCTAGAGCTCAAAATGACCTATCGGGTTGTTACATTCTCTCCCACTTAAACATACGTTCGTCCTCGAACGTACTAAAAACTGCTCTGGGGTTGTCTGAATTTACTGTTTAATACCTTGTGCACCTACCCGTGCTACCATAACTCAGTTGAGCACACTAGCTCGAGCCAATCTGAAGGTTCTCCCTTCTTATTAGGTCAAATAAGCTTCAGAGCCAAATTCCAACATATGTTGTTTTAGTGATTGAGTTCTTCAGTTTTAAAAAATTAGTAGTGGTATATATATTTGTAAGTTGTAACCTTCAACATACTTATAGTTTTATATTCTCTTCTTCCCTTTCGTAAATACTTCTTAATGTATATGTGACATTGGACAAGAGGGGTTGCTCTAGTGGTAAGCAACCTCCACTTCCAACCAAGAGATTATCAGTTTAAGTCTCCCCAAGAGCAAGGTGAGAAGTTTTTGGAGGGAAGGATGCCGGGGGTCTATTTGGAAACAGCCTCTCTACCCCAGAGTAGGGGTAAGGTCTGCGTACACACTATCCTCCCCAGATCCCACTAAATAAGATTATACTGGATTGTTGTTGTTGTATATGCGACATTAATTTCCTGTCAGATACAGTGGACCAATGTGTATTACATGTATACATATCAGTATCACTAAAGTCCCCACCGATCAACTAAATCTAAGGCGTTATCTTCTTTCCACAGGTGACAGGTCCCAAGTCCCAATCTGGTAAAAGGAAATAGGAAAGTTATTTGCATTTTAAAATATAACTCATAGAAAAGGGTGACACTAAGATTATCTTATTCACCAAAGAGAGAATTAAAAAAACAAAAAAAATGACATAAAAACTGAACTTGAGGAAATTAAAAGAAGATAAATGCAAATGATGCTCCGATAGCTCCTTAAACCAGTAGATGGAAATCAAGATTATTTATATAGATGTGATTGTCTTTGGTAAGTCAATATTGACAACTTATGGAACGTAGAAGTAATTTTTTTGGAAACGTGCAACTGTACCAAATGTAAAATTCTTGACATCGTTTAATTTTAATAGATGATGCATCAGGAACATCTAATGTGAAGTGTATCTGATTGGAAGTCATTTGACTGCACCATATATATTAGCTTAAGTGATTCATAAGTTAGATGGTTAGCATTTATCAGTTACCAAAATCAAGAATCAAGATAGTAGAACGTGAACACAATTTCACGTATAGAGCAGAATCATTATTTCTATGAAATTTTCTCAATATTAGACCCAAAAGAATAAGAGGAACAATCATTAAGAAGATGATGTAACATCAATCTACAATTGATTCAGTCTTGGAGAGTTACATTCTCGTGAAGTCCCAAGAAGAGGAGGTGAAGGATCAAATGGTGTCAATTATATCTGAGAGATCAAGCAACAAGCAGGAACCGACCCGACCCGACGTGAATCGAACTCTTATATTCCAAAATATGATTTTTCTTCTCATATTTCCAAAAAAAGAATCTCATCTCAAATTCAAATAATTCTTATCATTCTATTTTCTAAATTGAATCGCAATTTTCAAACAAATTATGTTATGCTTTCAAACTTAAATTAACTGCACTCAATTCAAATATTAATCATAGAAAAATATTTTTTAGATTATTTAAACACATTATATTTAAATGTTGTAGTAATATTTTCATTGTCATTTTATTTCTTTACGTATTATTTCCAAAAATATAAAAATTATGAAATAAACTAAAACTTATCATGTAGACAGTGAATAACAATTAATTAGAAATCTTTATTTTTGGAAAGCTTTCAAAATCTATTTAGAAAGGTATGTGTGAGAATATAAATCAAATTTTGAATTAATTTATTTTCATTTTGCTTTCATTAATTAATCATTTCTTCATTCTAAATTTGCCAAAAGACTTCTTAATAGCTAGTCACTTGGCTTAACCACACTGCAAACTTTATTCCTTTAATATATATATATATATATACTAGTAAATACCACATGCAACAAGTCATCAGTAAGATCCATCCGCACATCTAAATCCTCCATTTTTGAGATGCCAATATCTTTCCCCTTATCATCTGTAGCATCAAGAAAGTTGGACAAACTCACATCTCCACCACCCTCGTTCATAGGACAAAGGTAACTCGTCTCCTGCAACAAGTGGTTGTCCCAATCCCTGCAAGAATACCAATAAACCAGTCTTTATACAAGCAAAGCTATGAATTTGTTTTAAAGTTCAAACCAGTCCAAATTGTATTTTGGCTCAGCCACTTCCATTAAAAATATCCCCAAACACAAAGAAACGGGGAGATCACTAATGGCAGAATTTAGATCTCTGTACCTCTTTATTTCAAAATGAGCACATAAGCCAATCATAAAAACAGGGTACTAACTTCAGGATGTAACAATCTTTAGCCTTCATTAAGGAGGTCCGCGTCAGATATACTTGCTAAACGAAAATTCAAAAGAACCTCAAATTTAGAAATACTTATTTCAGATTAAGTTTATACTCGAGGTTTTGACCAAGGACTCGTGTAACTTAACTCGCTATTATATAAGAAGCTTGTTAGACTTCTCTTTAAGTTAGCACAAAAAACTGTGACGACCACAAATGATCGCTCCCACAAACCCCACTAACACAGAAAAATATAAAATAGTAAAATGACCTTTTTTAAACCTAAAGGCATGTTAGCTCACTTGGCATCATCAAGGAATGCAGCAGAAATAAGAGCTTTGAGTGAAAAAGCACTTCTTCGAGTATTTTTTTTTTTTATGAAGTGATAACACGTCTTCGAATATTTTGAAAATACTTAATAATAGTGTGCCAAAAAGCATGTTATCACAAACTCATTTTTTTTAGCTTTACGCCTGAATTTAGGCCTCACTTCAAATGACAATTAGTCTATTATCAAATTAAAGAGCTAAATTTTTCTTTGCATTTTGAAATTCCATAATATAAGTAGCTTTAGAAATAATTCTACCAAATATTAAGTAAAATGCTTTTAAAAAATTTGTATAGTGTTATATTCTTTCTCCTAGAACATCTATGCTAAAATGTACTTTCTCCATAACTCAGTGAACTCGAAAGTCGAAACAGGCTTGACTTTAATTACAACTGTATATAACAACCCAAAAGCGTGCATTTGAGGGACTCTTGAGTGTCAGCAATTATCGAGCTGGCCCTATAACAACAACTACGCCTAGTTGTTATTCATTCTCGATTTTGGCCGATTTCACTCCAATATTCCATAATTCGACTAATTCAAACAAAAATAATAACAAAAGACAGCAAATGAAGGCGCAGAAGCAGGTCTTACAGCGAAAAGGAGTTAACTTTGGGCCTTTTACTACAGGAATCACAATCAGGATCCTCTTTCAGCACTATTGAGGGCGAAGAAGCCTCTTCACTCAACCCTAAATTTAAATTAACATTCAACATTCTCTCACCACTGTAATTCCCATTCCTCGCCTCCACGTCACTGAGTAACCAGTTGATATCAAAATCAATCTCCTCATTCCTCCGGACACCAACATTATCCGCGCGTGGCCTCGACGCGCCGGCGCCGGCAACATCAACGCCGTCAAAAACCGCCCTTCAGTCAAATGCCGGGGTTTCATCCGGCGATTCCTCGCCGTTATTTCCCAAAATCGGGTCCCTCATACTCTTCTTGTAACCCTTGTTATTATATTCTTCTTCTTCACCGAAGCAAAAACAACACCAAATCCTCATACACACACTCACAACACACCA